TAAAAACTTTTCATTTGCAGATAGTTACTGATCTACTAGTTAGGCAAAAGACCATCTCTGTAGGCCAACCAAACAATGAAATTCACATCACACAGTAAAAGAGGGAGAGAGAAATATTTAATTATAATAACACTATGATAATGCTCTCCTCTTCCCCTTAGGCCCCTCCCACAATACGAACTATTAGACCTGATCTTTAGAGCATGTGGTAAAGACCATTCCGCCGTTGCCTTGACGCAAGTGGGTGTGGTACCTCATTAATAATAATAATATAAAATAATAATTTTTCTGTAGGAGATATTAGTGTATCTCGCAATGTTCATAAGGTCAGAGCCTGGTCTCTTTGATGAGATGTTGAGACTGAGGATTGGGCTCATTCAAAATGTGATGGTCATTGAGCTGGCAAGATCCCTCAACTGCTCAAGTAAATTATACAAAAATTAATAATGATAATAAATGAATAAATTTCTTTATTTTTGTGTCTGTTAGATGAGGATGCAGTGGACCAGCTGCTTCTATTGGGACCTTTTGAGCTTAAAAATCTCCTCTACCATCTTCTCAGTCGCAAAGAATTCACCGTAGACCAGAGTAAGGAAAATACAGGAGAAGGAAGGAGTATTGTTATTTTTAAATTTATGACCAGGTTTTGGTAGCGGCAAGGCTACAGTGTCTACTGATAAGGCAGTGAGGCAGCTGTCAATAGTTACGCCTAATAAAGTGCACAGGAGTGGAAAACTGAAGGAACAAGTCAAAGTATGATAATTATGCTAATAAGGAGAGAATTCTACACTTTTATAATTTTTCTGATACACATGTCCTTTTAGTGTGTAGAAAGTTTGAGCTAGTTTCAATCAGGATTTTTAATGAATTTTTAAACATATGGATACTCCAAATATTATAGTTATACACTTAGCCGTGACTTAGCATACTTTGTTGGAAACCCTGCTATTAATATAACTGTGTTACTATATTTAGGCACTGGAGACTGGTATGTCGGAAGAGGAGGGAGACAAGCTCGGGCAGTGGCGGAGAAGAAGGAGGATAGATGGGGCATTAAATAGAGTACCTCCAGACTTCTACACTCAAGTTTGGTAAGCAACAATAAGTTAATGTTTTACTTTTTACATTTTATTTTAGGCACTGTCTTGAAAAATGCGATGGATTATTCATTGGGAATCAGATTTTACCGAAATTTCCTACAATACATGAGGTAACACAAGTACATGTACTTGTAATTAACTGGTATGTATTTATTATAATTGTAGATGACAGCGGGTGAATTGAAATTTGCCCTTAAAGTAGAATCAGTTCTTAATTCCTTACCTGATCCAGAGTATCGTCAGTTAGTGGTTGAGGTTCTTATGCTCACTGCTCTCATTAATCCCGAGAGACCACTCCCACAAATTGTGAATGTAGACGATGTTATTAGAACTGCTAACTTTCTTTTTGTTGTTGATCAGGTAAGGTTTGGTATATTTTATGGCAACTTTTAAAGTTTCTAAAAAATCCAATTTCAATTGGAATCAGCTCAAATTTTCCACTCATGTTGATACTTACATGCATTGGAAAATGTAATAGAAATTTTCTCATAGCCATTTTTGACAAAATACCATGTACTATGGTACAGGGACCTTGGCCAAATTTTACATCGATTTCCAAAAAAAAATGCAATTTTAAGACTTATTCCGTGTGATTATCTGACTTCTTATTATAGAAAGAGTGCAATGGATTGGCCAGTCAGTGCTGTGGACAAATGAGAGGTTCCTGTGGAGCCTACTGGTCTATCTGTAGTCACTTCTATGACTCAGCCCCCAGTGGAGTATATGGTACTATGAGTTACCTCTCGCGTGCTCTGCTCCAGACCATACAACAGAACCTTCCAAGAGATTACTCGTGCAAAATCAGCTGATGTTTGTCTCAGTGTGTGTATGTTCCTAGACCATATAATTCATGTTGTTCTCATTATTCATATTATTGTACTTAGATTATTATATATCAGCTTTGTATACTTCAATGTTGCATAATTTTTAATTTCACGTGGCATAAGGAGATCATCAGAATGAATATTAGCAATAGTTATTCTTTGGTGAAAGCTGTAAAATTTGATGGCTAGTGCTAAAACATACTAAAACACGGACCAGCATGTATTATAGTATGCTGGTCTAGGGTCATTGTCAGATTTCTCTGAGTAAATTTATAATTTGCTGACAAGAAGCTACTGAACCTGTGGCAAATCCTGAGCTCACTCATTGGGAATAAAGGAATCGATATTATATTAGAAAAATGAAAAAATATTATATATATTAAAAATATCAACTGCATTATTGAGAACAATCTTTACTCATTGGACATTGTGTGTCTTTCTTGATTTATACTTGTGCTTATTAAAGCCAGCAACTATTGTTGCTAGTGGTTTTGGAGAACACAACCTGTAAAAATAGGTATCAAATAATTTTAAAAACTCATACCCACAAAGCATGTTAAATGCATGCATGAGCTGACAGCCATAAAGCAACTTTAAAAATAAAAAAATAAAACAATAAAATTTTAAAAATAAAGAATAAAAAATATAATAAAAAATTAAGATTAATTTAAAAAATAAATAATAAAGTTAAAAAATTATTATTGTAATAAAAAATTTAAAATAATAAAATAAAATTTAATTTACAAAATAAAAAAATTAAGAAAACATTATAGCAAAAAATTAAAATAAAATGTAAGAAAATAATTGAAAAAAAAAATAAATGAATAAAAATAAAATAAAAAATTAATAAAAATTAAAAATAACAAAAATAATAATTATTATAAAAAATTAAAAAAATTTAAACAAAATTAAAAAAGAATTAAATAATAAAAATTTAAAAAATTATTTTTATGAAAAATTAAAAAAATTTTTTAATTATAATAAAAATTAAAATTAAAAAATAAAACATTTTAAAAAATAAAATTAAAATTAAAAATATATAAATTAGTAAAATAAAATTTAAAAAAATAATAGTTAAAAATTTTTTAAATAAAATAAATAAATAATAATAAAATTAAAAAAATTTTAAAATAATAATTAAATTTTTTTTAATAAAATAAATAAATAATAATAATAAAATTAAAAAAAGGAAAAAATAATTCAAAAAGTTAAAAAAATAAGAAAAAAAATATATAAAGATAATATAATTTAAAAATTAAAATGAAAATTAAAAAATAAATAAAATAAAAAATTATTCATATAAAGCTTAAATTTAATCAGAATCAACTCAAACTTTCTACCCAACATAAAGACATATATATGTATCAAAAAATATTATAAAAATGAAGAATTCTTTTTGTAAATTGTGGTCAAATTTGGCCTGAAACTGTGTACTATAGTACAGGGACTTTTAGCCAATTTTGGAGCAACTTTATAAATTTGTAAATAATACATATTAAATCAGAATCAGTTCAAACTTTCTACATAACATAAAAACATGTATATGCATTCTAAAAAATGTTTTAATGGGGAATTTTCTCATTTTCAATTTTTTTGCAAAATTTTGCCTAAGACTGTGTACTATAGTACAGGCAAGAAGTTGAGCACTATGCCAAGAATGAAATCCTTTATAATATATACCTTTTATTATCTTGCAGCTGCCCTGGGCACCGACTGCTATCAAGTTCAAGTGTGACCACACCAATCTTGTGTCCTTGTCTTGTGTTTGTTGAAAGGAAACAGCTACTCTTTGGAGGACTGCCCTTCTTCACTCCTCTACTGATTCTCACTGATGTCACATGCCCTCCTCCTCTGCTGTCTCCATTAGCAAGGACATGTGAGTCCATTTGCTCATCTTCTTCACTATTCTTTTCCTTGTCATTTCCTTGTATTTCCTTGCTACTGATATTGTCTCCTTTGATAGCTCTACTCTTATTCAATTTCTCTCCTTCCTCTTCCTCCCTTTCTTCGGCAATAGTTTCCAATGCTCCCTCAGATAAAGATTTTGGCAGATCCTTCTCCCTCTCCTCCTCCTTTTCTTCATTATTTGGTTCAATGCTCAACCTCAGCTGTCTACTACATGCAGTGGGAGCACCTACAGTAGCTGCCCTCTTTGTTACTCTTCGTATCTGTGAATGCTGCCACGATGCCTATGAATGACAATAAGAAGAAGAATAAATTTAGATTGAACTTACTGCTAGTCTTTCAAGGGTCATTTCAGCTGCCACACCAGTTACAGATGAAACAACAATAGCTGGAGTAATAGGTCTACAGTGAAGCATAATAATTGCATTATGAATGCAGAGTAAAACTCATTTTTTACCTGCTAGTTTGATCTGATGGTGATAAGTGTAGGCTTGCTCCAGATATTCCAAAACTAGGTGATGCAAGCCCACTGTTGTTTCTGATTTTGCTCCCTGTTACTGCATCAATTTTCTTATGCTCTCCTCCTCCCCAATGCCTCTCTTTGCTAGGCAGTGGTACACTGATTGGCCTGTCATTAGCACTCAGAGAGCGAGTGACAAAAGATGAAGTGAAACTCAATACTGGAGGAGCAGGTGTGGAAGGAGGGCAGTGTGGAGTTGAAGCTCGAGACTATAAAAACATTAATTAGCCACTATTATCATTATAATCATATTTCAAAGGGTAAAAAGTGAATTACTACTCACATATCCAATCACTGCTGGGGCGGTCTGTGGTCTGATATCAAGACTTTGATGAGCCTTTGATTTATTTAGAAATATCTGAGGTTTTGGCGTGTCTTTTCTTTTGATCTGTGCAAATATGAGACATAACAATATCATATTGCCACTTACTGATGGTGTAGCCAATGGTTTGTTGAGTGAAAACCACTGATAGATTGTTAATAGCTCTTGCTTTTGAATCTCTTGATGTGGGTTGCTTTGAGATAATAAGATAAATAGAAGAAGGAAAAGACAAGATAGGATAGCAAACATGAGTCTTTCTTTTCATACTTACTGGAGGACCTGGTTGAGCATGATTGCCAATGTCTGGTAAAAGTTATACTCTGCACAAGTTCCTCTACTGCAATAGATTATGCATGTAAAAAAATATATGCAACTTTTTTTGCACTTAACATAGTGCAAATGCAGCAGGCAAAGGCTTTGATTTCACACTACAGGACATTCTAACCTTGGTGTGTGTATTGTAGTACCACTCTCTCCTTTCCTGTGGTTCCTGTGAGCTGAGAGTGCTTGAACCATCCTGTTAAACTCAACATAGCTGCTTAACTAAAATTGAGAAAATACTAGTGATTGTCAAGATTATATTTTTGTTCACTTTAGAGCAACGCAAAAAGCTAGTTTCTCTTTCCATGCCCTATGATGCACTCCTGCTTGTTTGGAAATGCAAAGAGCCCCACCCTTAATGGGCGTGGTCAACAATGCTTAAACCACGCCTAGAAACTGCAAGTCTTGGGTGGGGCTCATTGCAATTCAAAATGATGGTTAGCACAAAGGCTAATTCTCAGACTATCGACCTTGAGGTTGGACAGGGCTAACATGGAAAAACATAATTCCAATGTAACAGATGTTCAGTATGCCAACACCTCATTCCTTGTATAGTACTAATTCCTTATAATTAGGTTGATTGGTCACTGTGGTATAAAACCACATATATAGAACAAGCTAATATTATGCTGCCACATCAAACATTGCCTTGTCCCTACCCTTTACTCTCAACACTCATTATTCACATAGTTTAATAACATATCTTAGTCTATATATACATAACTTATGCAACAAAAACTCAGCTTGCTCAGCCTTAGTGGTTGCATGCTATCATAGCAAATCAGGGCTATCACCTGTTAATCTTTGTTTCCCTAATATTGGTTCATTATGATAGTCAGTGGCTTGGTACTGCTGGCAGTTCTTGCAGGACTAGCACAGAGCAAAGAGCCACAGGAAGGAGATCCTTGTGTGACTGATATTCTCTGTGCAAAGGTGGAGATTGTTGATGAGAAGAGAAACATTTGTACCTCATGCTCAGGGTAATAAAAGAATATTAGGAAATGTCTCTGTAGCTACATATAATATACTACCATTTATTTCTATACAATAGACCAAATGTATGCAAGTTTACAAGGATAATCAAGAAATCTTACGAGATCGGTAGCTATGAGAAAAAGTGCAACACTTATCTTTGGTATCCAGGAGAACTGTGCAGGTATCAAAGTATTCACAGAAAGGAAACACTAACATGTACAAATGCATAACTTGCAACATCAGCATATCTTATTACCATCTAAAGCACAGGGCTTGACCAGGGGAGGTTCCCCAACCCGTCTTTGTTTGTTTTACCATAATATGATTATAATATATTTATTCAATTTTACATCCGTCTATTATTAGCTTAGAGTGTGTGTCAACAGAGTCCTGTAATGCGACGAGCTACACCCAGTCTATAGACTATGAGTGTTGTCCTGGGTTTGAAATCAGTCGTCCAACAAACAGCTACCACTTGTTTGTCTATCACTATCTCTCTGGGTATTACTTAACCTATTATGGATGTCCCATGGGTAAAGCATGCATGCATTGCATATAAAAACACTTAGAACAGTGCAAAAAATATTTAAAATTTCTTATGTAGAACTCAATGACTCAGTTGTTGCCTGTCTTGAAGAGCTTGGTCTATCTGAGATGATCGCTTTGCTTAAGAAAGCAGATCTACTTGACACTTTCTCCAACAGTACTTCAGAATTCACAGTCTTTGCTCCTGCAAATAGAGCCATAATGAATTCTGATCTGTCAAAATTAAATGGGACTGAGTTAGAGACAGCTCTATTAGCCCATGTCCTGAAAGGGGTACTCAAATCAAGAAATTTTATAGCTAAAAGCAGTCTAGAGAGCTTGGCAAGAGGGCACTATATCCACATTCATAATACATGGAGTTGGATAACTCAGGTACAGTGTGCATGGGTAATATGGTGTGTGACTGATATATTCATGGGGAAACTTTACACCAGTAAAAGTGTAAAGCATGTGTGCCAAATGTTGTGAAAATAAACCATTATAAAGTGAATTAATCAATGCCAACAATGCAGATCTACACATAAAAATATCCTTCTTTTTTCCATATCTTTTTTATGTAGAGAAACACTTATATCAACGGTCGACAGTTAATTGAGCCTGATTCATGTCAAGCAATGAATGGGATCATTCACAGGATCGAAAATGTCATTAAGAGCACTGATGACTCAATAGTAACCGTAATAGAAGATACAACCACATTCTCCATGATTTCTCAACTCCTGGACAAGGCCGAACTAAAACAGAATCTCAATTATTCTGCTGGTGTCTTCCTCACAACATTCTTTGCTCCTACAGACGCCGCATTTGCTAAAGGTAGCTCTGAACTAGGCATCGACCTCGTATCCTGTCTCGCCGATCCCGAGAACAACAACATTCTACAAACATTCCTCAAATACCACATGGTCCGTGGTGCTTTTTATTCCTCCATGCTCTCGTTTCAAACATCACTCAAGACTGAAGTATGCAACAACATTCCTCTTCCTCCTCCTAAAACGCTATCTGATGAGCCACTGCCTATAATCAACTGTCATCTCAATGTGTTGTTTACAGACAGTGGCATTAGTGTTGGGATGACTGGGAGTATTATCAATCAGGCTGATATACCAGCTAGTAATGGAGTCATTCATGCTGTCTCTTTGCCCCTCGTTCCGCCTACAATTGACCTAAAAGAAACATGCAAAAATCATATGATGGCTCATAATTGATTCCTTTTTGTTTTTGAATGGTTTTTTTGTCATTTAGAAAAGCATGTATAGATGTGGGGGTGATAAAATTGAATATTAAGCAAAAGGTTACCTCAAAAGGTAGCTCAAATTGCTCTCAATTAAAGATCATTGCCTTTTACAGCCAATAGCTGATTCTTTCATGTATAGCCACAGCCTAGTCCAGTTGGTTTGTAGTGTGACAGCTGCCTGTATGGTAGTATGATTCCCAGAATCATATAAGGTTTCTATTGATGATAGTAGCACTACCTCTAAAGGCCATGCAAGTGTAGCTTCTTTGACCTTAAAGAGAGTACACGTCTTTGCTGCATGAGAAAGACAATGACGAACCATAATTGTGACATAACTTATTAGGTAGGTTTTGCCAATTAGAAATCATAGTACACCAATCCACACATAATTAAGGTCTCCCACACTTATAAGTGGTAAAGCTACATGACTTATGCGACCTTTTGTACATGCAAGACCATATTTAGCTAATAATAGGATTAAAATGATATGTGAGTCAGATCAGGACGTGATATCACTGTCAACATTAAGTAATATCCTTGATAGAAGCTGAAGCCTTAGTGATACCTTGAATTGAGTAGTCATGGTAACTCAGCTAGACAAGGAAGAGTTCCAGCCACATCAAAGACAAGGCAGGCTGGGCAGCTCAAATGCAAGAGTCATTGTTGGTGATACAGAATCCAAATGAGTCAATGCAGTACACACCTACTCAACTGCATCTCCTTATTCTCCTATATAAGACAGGGAGTTTAAACACACTTGCATCTGCTAATCATCCTCTAGTGGATAAAAAAATAAGAAATAAAGAAACTACAACATGAAGACTCAGCTACTTGTACTAGCAGTGTTCTTGGTCAGTTTGGCATATGCTGACTTTTTCCATAACATTCAAGAAGGAGATCCATGCAGCACGTACCAGCAGTGTAGACAAAAGGAGCTAATAAGTGAGGAAACTACTCCTTGCACAAACTGTAGAGGGTAAGTTATGAGCTAATGCAATAGCTACAGGATGATAATCTGTTTACTTTACAGGCCCAATGTTTGTGTAACAGCAAGGAAATACATGAAGAGCTACTACAGTGGAGTGTATGAGAAAAGATGTGAATCCTATTACAGCTGGTATCACGGGAGATACAGGAAATACTGCCAGTATGTTAATAAAATTATAGCATCCTTTATCAACCTTCCTTTCATTCGATTACAGTTGGGAGTGTGTTGCTACTCAAAATTGTACTGACACAAAAAACGTTACAAAGAATGAGTATGACTGTTGTCCTGGTTTCACGACAAACACAACAGGGAGTGGCCATTATTATGACTCCTGGTTTAGGGAGAGTAAATGGTACTTAAAAAGACATGGCTGTCCAAGAGGTAAGGCAAATCCAACAGTACTAAGTTATTTAGACACATTATAGTGCTAGACGATCATTTTATTGGTTACAAATGTAATTATCGTCTCTTCATTTTGAATTTAGTTTTGTACAATTCGACATTTGATTGCTTGTCTCAGCTTGGATTGACTGCATTTGCTGATCTTCTCAGTGATTCTCTGCAAGATAGTCTAGAGTCAGACAACAGTTCCTTCACCATATTTGCTCCTCCAAATGAGATCCTTAACCAAAGGAACCTCGGGTCTCTCTCTTCTTCTGAAATCGATGTTCTCACCAAGTCACATATTCTCAATAAGGAGATTCATTTCCCTATGCTCTACAATGGACTCAAGAAAATGTCGCTCTCACCTGGTAGATTTGTTTTCGTTTCACAATCTTACAATTATGAAACTTTTACATTCAAAGTAAGTTAAAAGCAACAATTTGCTGACATTATTAATATTCTAACTGTATTTTATTCTTAATTGTAGAAAGATACTTACATCAGTGGCGTAAAATTGATAGCACCTGATGCCTGTGTTGCAGTCAATGGTGTCGTTCACATAATAGAAGGAGTGATTGAAAGCTCTGACCAGACAATTGCTGAAGTCGTATCAGCTACACCTTCATTCTCAACAATGGAGTCCCTACTAGTAAAAGCTGACCTCCTATCATCACTAAACAATACTCATGGCTTCCCAACAACCTTGTTTGTCCCTGATAATGACGCCTTTAAACAGGGAAGCTCAGACCTCATGGTGGACATAGTCCAGTGTCTGCTAGCTGACGAAAACATGAGGAGCTTGAAGAAGTTCTTGAAATATCATTACACTTGTGATGCATTCTTTAGCTCTATTCTAGTGAAAAAGACTCAGCTGACAACAGAGGCTTGCCAGAGACGCTGGTCAAGACGGTACTGGTATTATTACAGACACTGCAAGACCGTGGCTATCAATGTGAACGATGATGGTATCCAGGTTGGAGAGAGTGGTAGCCTCATCGAAGAAGCTGACATACAAGCAACGAATGGAGTGATGCATCAGATTAGTCTACCATTGATTAACCCATGGCTGGATCTTGAGAAACTATGCAGCGATTTTCCTTATTCTCCGGTTTCCCCGTCTCCCAGCTCAACTCCTCCTTCTGCTTCGGCTTTTCCTCCTCCTCCTCCTCCTCTTCTACCTTCACCAACCACAATTCTTAACTGATAAGGATGGTGATTGGAAATAACGAACAATTTTTAAAAATGCTACTAATTATTATATTATAATATTTTTATTGTTTATTTGTCAGCTGTCATTATTTTTAGAATAGATTTATTTTTTAGTATAAGATTAAAACTGCTAATTAAAATTGCAAACATTCTATGATATTCATATTAAATATTGATGCACTTATGCTGTGTGAAAAGTTTGAGTCAATTCTGACTTCAATTTTTCAAGTTACAGCCAATTTAAAAAATCGGCCAAAATCTGAAAATTTCCCTGTACTATAAGCCCATGGTTTTTTCCAAAAAATGGCTCGAAAATGACTTTCAATTTTTATTACATTTTCTGATACATATTGATGTACTTATGCTATGTAGAAAGTTTGAGCTGATTCCGACTTCAATTTTTAAAGTTACGGCCATTTAAGAAATTGGCCAAAATCTGAAAATTTCCCTGTACTATAGCCCATGGTTTTTTCCAAAAAATGACTCCAAAATCACCCCCAATTTTTATTAAATTTTCTGATACATATTAATGTACTTATGCTGTGTAGAAAGTTTGAACTGTTTCCGACTTTAATTCTTCAAGTTACGGCAACTTTAAGAAATGTACGATGTGCACTATTGGATGACATAATACGAACTAACTCAAATTAGTTGACAAAGAATGTCTCTAGGATATCATCTTTCACGCAACAGTATTGAAGCACAAAAAGCAAAGACATGCATCTATATAGACAGAGCCCAACAAACTTCAGACTTTTCCTATCAGCAGAGTAACCAGGCTCAGATCAAACACAGGCCCAATTAGCAAATTATTCTTCAATTATAGTTGAAAGAAAATAGAATCCATTTTAATGAATGGAGTGAGGCAGATACCTGACTACATATAATGTTACATCCAGGCATTCAACCTCTTATATAAACAGATAGTTGATGCAGTAGTGATCTACGTGAGATAATCACATTTACAATCTTCACTGCTCCTTTGTTGTAAAAATGAAGGTTTTGTTGCTTCTTTCTGCTCTCTTTTGCCTGACAGCTGCTTATGGGGTAAGAGTGGGTCAGTCCTGCCATCACTACTCGAGACCTTGTGGAGTGAAGAGGCTACTCAATGAGGAAACAGCAGCTTGCTTAACTAGCATTTGCAGAGGGTAAGAGCTAAAAAAATTGCATCAAATACAATGTGCCTTGATAGTCAATATAATTCTTTATTTTCCTTCTCATTGCTCATGATGCATAGGCCTAATGTCTGCATTAAAACAAGGACATACATGAGACAATATTACAGCTATACCTACCAAAGGGAATGCCGTACAGTCTACAGCTACTGGTACCGTAGGTACAGGACATACTGCCGGTAAGAGTTGTGCACCATTACTTCGTCAAATACTTCATTGTTACTTTTTCCTTGCAGTATGAGTTGTCAGAATACAGGGAATTGTAATGTAAACAGGACCTCAACAATCAAAGAGTATCATTGCTGCGATGGTTTTACTACAAGGACCAGCAAACACAACTACCTCAATTACTGGTACAGGGAAAGTGCATGGTACTTGAAGAAATACGGTTGCCCAAGAAGTAAGAAACATTGAAAACATAAATTGCTTTTAAAAATATCTTTCTCATCTTTCCAACTACTCCACAACTCTAGCCTTGTTTAATTCAACATTTGACTGTTTGTCTAATCTTGGATTAACACTGTTCAGTCAGCTTCTAAGTGATAATCTTAAAAATATGCTGGGCAATTCAACGTCTACCGATAAATACACAATATTTGGTTCACCAAATGAGCTTCTCTCCCGTGCAGAGTTCCCACCTAACGAGACGGAGAGGGTTCTCAGATCACATATAATTAAGAGGAATATACAATCTCCAATGCTGTACAATGGATTAAAGAAAGAGAGTATTGCTAAAGGTTACTTCATTCACATCAGTGCGGGCTACATTAATGCAAATTATTGGTCAACTAGAAATGTAAGGAAAATGATCTAACCTTTTTTATGCTAACAATCCTTCCTCTTTTTATCCTAATCTAAACCACCTTCCCACACTCTAGGTGGATTACTTCATAAATGGCTTGAGATTGATAGCACCTGACGCCTGCATAGCAAAGAACGGTGTCGTCCATGTGATAGAAGGAGTCATAAATAGCTCCAACAAGACAATCGCTGAAGTCGTATCAGCTACACCTTCATTCTCATCCTTGGAATCCCTACTAGTAAAAGCTAACCTCCTATCATCGCTAAACAATACTCATGGCTTCCTAATGACCCTCTTTGCTCCTAACAACACGGCCTTCCAAGTTGGCAGCTCTGATCTAAAGGTTGACATCATTCGCTGTCTGCTCTCCAACAATAACAGTGCCTCTCTCACCACCTTCCTTAAATACTTGACGGTATGCAATGCGGAGTATAGCTCGGTTCTGGAAAACAAGACCCAGCTCTTAAGCGAGTACAGATGTCCTTACACTAGCTGGTATAGCTACCGCTCCTCATGTCACAGAAGCTGTAAGGTTATTCCGATAAATGTTAATGACGATGGCATACAAGTTGGTCAAACTGGGAGCCGTATAAATAAGCCCGACATACCAGCTAGTAATGGCGTCATACATCAGCTCAACCTCCCATTGGTCAACCCTTGCCTCAACCTCACCAGTATCTGTGCTAACTTTGCTATTTAGCTATAGCCCTTTGGTTCAACATGCAAGCTACTCCTGCTACATAAAAAGACTAGATTGAACAATAATTTGCTTTTTTGCTGCTGCTTTGCTGCCTTTTGAATTGTCTTGTAATTTTAGCCGAAAAAATATCATTTGGTTTAATGCTACAATTTAATAATCCCACGTACATGCCCACACATCAATTATCAGACCATACAAACATGTGATCACGTACTACTCCACATGCGAATCACATGCACCCACTTACTAGGAGAGATTGTAATCGCATTACACACTACCAGTTACTATTCGAAGCGTATACATAGACATATCACATATATTTCAAATTAAATTAGTTTAACAGACAACACCCCAGTCCCCAGTCGCTCCATTTATCCCTCCTACTCAACCATTACAATATGTATGTACTCCTTTACCATAATAGGTATAGCATGATTAATCTTATTTACATGTACTTAAGCCCATTTATACATGTACATGTACACGGGCCTATTTGGGCCCATTACCACTAGTGTTATAGACACTATATACTCTTCAATATCTCAAGAGTGCATGCCATTCACATGGAGCAAGACACAACACTCATTACTAGTCAAAGGTTTAATGAGAGCCATAAGCCACTCCTTCCCTTATGACCATTAGATCAAGTACAGTGTCTGATATAGAGTCACTACCACAGCTAACAAGTTTATACTCTGAGACAAAATGGGCATCTTAATAATAACTTGTGTATCAGCTTTTAGTAAATAAGTTACTGCCAAATGGGTTAAGTGTATTGTCTGAGTTTAATGCACACGAGTGCTGCCTCTTAGTACTCCAGTGTACACTACCAAATTGATGGCTGATGTCCATATGTACTGTCTGATTCTCTCATTATCCTTATACACATGGACATAAATATTTCACTATTATTTACTCAAAGCACGTATATATTTGATGAGGTTATGTATTGTCTGCCAGTTCTTAGTGTGTGCAACAAATGACTTCTGATGACATTAGGAATAGAGTATATAAAGGTGAGGCTAAGCCAGCTAGTAAACAGTTTGCTTTTGACTATAAAGAATAAGTAATGATTAGTCGGAGTTGCTTAGTGGGTGAAGAAATAATCTAAAGGACTTCTCTGTTTCATATCAAATTAGGTGTGTCTGTGGGTGAAGCACATTACAAAGCATCAATCAATCAATTAGAATTGGGTCAATATAAACTAATACATACTTGAGGGACCAACACCCAGCCTCTACCTACAAGTATAAAATATTTCTCGTCAAGCTACTACAGTCAGATTGCAGTGATTCTATTCTTTCTCTTTTTCTCTCTGGGATTGTCGTTGGAATTAGTGTTCTCATCCATCCATTGGTCCTTTGATCTTACTCTATGTTAACGTCCTCCAATTAACAGTAATAATCTATCGTTAATTACTACTGCTTTCATCTACAACTCTCTTTCCTTCTCGTATCAACTCACATTTATTCCTCCTAGAATCCCTGCAAATCTCATAACTTCAAGCTCACAGTTATATTGATCACTATACATCATGACAGCATCAATCAACAGTTCCCTCTTTTTGCTATCCTTCTTCGTCGTGATTGCTGCTCTGGCCAGTTCTGTCGGCGGTACTTATTACGGCTATAAGAAGGTCGGGTCCCCGTGCACTCCGTACCTGAGGAAACCCTGCGGAGAACACAAGGTAGCATCAGTACAGTATTATCCCTGCAGGCATTGCAAAGGGTAAGTCAACCTCTCTCTCTTTTCATCAATACATGTATGTACATGTACATTACGCATACACATGCACAATATGTATTGTATACTTAGCTTACTATTATTACTATTATTATTATTATTGTTTGTTGTTGTTGTTGTTATTTATTTTGTTGTTTTTTCAGGGCAAACGTGTGTAAGAAAGTAACGACTTACAAGAAGCATTATTACAGCTGTGTCTACGCTAAGAGATGCTACAAGAGCTATTGGTATGGATACACCTGCAAGTAAGTGAATCAAATACTACAGAATACTACTAAAATACTACAGAGATATGTCCATGTACATGGAATAGCTGTACTTTATATTCATTAAAAAAATTTTTTAAAAATCATTTTCCAGGTACTATTGCAAACAGACTGACAAGTGTGATTATTATAAGACCTACAAAAGGAGTAGGTATGGTTGCTGTGAAGGATACACTACTGCAGCTAGTCCCAGTGATTACCATCATAAGATAAACAGTGGCAGCACCTACTACCTCAAGAGAAATGGCTGTCCAAGACGTAAGTAGTCATAACAATTATTATTTATAAACCATTTAATAAGAGAAAAATTGTGAGACATTTTGTGGGCATGTAGACTTTAAAAATAGCCATAAAAATATCTCTCCTCCAGTAATAAGATATACATCTTTGGCTATTTGATTAAGCTAGAAAAGAACACATACGTGCACATGTACAGTATCTATGGCTATACGAAAGGCATGTACATGCACTACACTTTACAATTAAGATAAATACATGATCTGGTACCTTTAGATTTTGTATTGTTAGCCTTTCTTTGCTCCAAATAAAGTCAGCAGGAGTGCTTCTCAAGTCTCCCTTTAGCAAGATTAATAATATTAGCGCCTCTAGTAACAGGTGCTAATTCAACAGATACATATCAAATATTTACCAAACCTTGTTTTCGCTATTAGCACCCAACATTGTTTCCAATTAGAGCCTTAAAATGTTTCCAATTAAAGCCCAGCTAGAAACAAACATACAAACAAAGCAGTTCACATACAATGTACTTTCACTCACTCTCTCTCCCTCTCTCTCTCTTCTCCCCCTCTCCCTCTCTCCAGCAATATTTAACACAACACTTGAGTGTCTTAGAGAGCTAGGACTCACGCAATTCACAAACCTCCTTGACAGCCTTCCTCTTGAATCACAGCTGGAGGACACGAGAGACACATTCACAGTATTTGCACCGACCAATGAGATCCTCTCCAGCGCAATGCTAGGAGGTGCCTCGGATAATGCTAAGAACACTCTTTTGAGTACCCACGTCCTAAATAAGGACGTCCCAGCTGTTAACCTGTACGATGGACAAAAGATAGAGAGCCTGGTTATGGGACGATTCATACACGTGACAGAAATCGAACTGAAAAAATGGAAAAATTATAGATACAGTTATTATGAGGTAACAAAAATAGATAATAACAATTTTATTTCTATAGCGCATACATGCATTTACTAATGAATAATTAATAATTATGATTAATCTTCTATTTTTAGCATTCATTATTATTAATAATCTTTCTATTTTTAGCGCATATTCATCAACGGACACGAGCTATCATCGAGGGATGCCTGCATAGCAACCAATGGACGTGTACACATAATCAATGGAATAATAGACTCATCCAACAAAACAATACTACAAGTAGTCGCCACCTCCCCAAACCTCACCACACTAACCTCGCTCGTCCAGACCGCCGGTCTCGTCGACTTCTTCAGCCAGCCAAAACCGCTCCTAACACTTTTCGCACCGACCGACGAAGCCATACAAACGGCGAGTGAAGATCTTGGCTTAGACCTTGAGAAGTGTCTCCTCTCTCCGTCAAATCGGGACGCTCTCAACGACTTCTTACGCTACCATGTGACATGTGGAGCCGAGTACTCCGGTAGTCTCGTACTTCGTAAGTCCCTAACCACAAAATCCTGCGTGAGAAAGAGGTACTATTACTACGGCTACAGGAGCTACTATAGGACTCATTATAAATATTATAAAGTTTGCAAGAGGTTACCTGTTAGTACTTCGGATGACGGAATAGCCGTAGGAGGAGGTGACAATGATAATCTGATAACGCATCTCGATATACCGGCCAGTAATGGGGTCGTCCATTACATATCAATGCCACTGGTTAATCCCTGTCTCAACCTCAATAAGATTTGTGCCGATTTCCCTATCAACTGTCCCAATTGTAATAACACATTGGTTCCCCCTCCACCTCTCCCGCCCCCTCCATATTAAAACTAAATGTAAACCCACAATATTACAATAGTCATTGATTGACTGCTGAAAGCTGCTTTGCTGTCAAATACATAGATACACATATATACATCATATATCTACATGTACATGTATTATTATTGAGAGTTTGAGACATTTTAAAATTTATAATAATTATTTTCTCTCACCACCTGATTTCGCCGCAATTCAAATTTATGCCCTCTCACTCATTTTATGCTTCAATAAAATCAATTAATTAATTAAATCAATATTAACGAAATAACAATAACAAGGAGTTAATTTTTATTATAATTAGTTATTAAGTAGTTAGTTAATTAAGTAATCGGGTCGCCATAACGACTAGTAACATGTACATGTATTAGTAACAGTAATTCCATCAATTCAAGACTCAAGAACAAGCGATCCTGTTGCCATTGACAACAAAGTCTCACCTACACGTAATTATACATCATAACGACAAACTCACTAATTGATGTACTAACTTGAGCTCTTTTGATTGGTCGATTGAGCGTTGAGTTCAAAGTAGGCGGAGTCAGAGATAACGAGGTGAATAAGAGAGGGAAAGCAGTGAGAGTGTTCCTCTCCAATGATGGAGGTGAGGGTTGCTAAAGGGAAGCCATCTTGTGCTGTAACAGTATCACTTGATAGTACGTTAGTGTCTTCATCACATTCTCTGTCTTGAAATTCCTGAGAAAGAGATTCGAGAATCACAAAATGGAGAATTCTCTCCTTTTCAATTTTCATGAAATTTGGCCCAAGACTATGTAATATAGTACAGGGACTTTTACCCAATTTTTGAGCAAGCTTAAACTTAAATCTACTGACAAGAAAATGAGTACTATCACTACTATGCTAAAATCATGTACATGTACATACACTATACCTTTACAACAGTATAAGCTTCCAATAGATTATCCAATCCCAATTTTTCCTCAAGTCTGTTCCGAGTTTCCTCCAGCTTGTCAAAGATCCGTCCCTGCCCCTCCCCCTTATTGCTGGAGCCACACCTATCAACACCATCAGATCCATCAGTAAACTCATCATCGGACGACTCCCAGTCTTCCTCAACGAGAGAACAATGACATGCCCCTTCCTCCTCTTCTCTCTCTGTTCCTTCTTCATTCTCAGTGGTAGATATGTGTCCAGGATTAGGGGTTGAGGTATTATGTGAAACTGGCTTAGGACTTGGGGTACCTCCTTTGTTATAAAGGTCTCTCAACGTTTTAATCATTTCTTCATATCCTCTGTCATTATCCTCAACATCAGTTAGGGAGGAGGAGCCTGATTCTGTGTCGTTGGGCGTGGCTATATCGGCTACAGATGTGGGCGTGTCCAAATCTATTGAGGAGCTTAAGGGCGTGTCAAAAACTGTATCAGTATCCTCTTTTTGAGCTGGTGCTGCTTCTTTGATGTTAACGTCGCTACGAGTGCAAGGAATTTGAGATTGATTGGTAGGTGTGGTCAACTCCACCCTATTCACAATGATTATATAAAATACATGTACATGTATAAATGTTGCTATTACTTGATGGTGGGTGTGGTCAATCTAAGATCCGGCAGAGAACAAGTTCTAAGTATCTAAAGAAAAATTAAAATATAAAAATATATTTGATACATGTAAATGTACATGTACATGTACAAAATCATAGACTCTGTCTTTATACCGTATAATTTGTATCATAGTGCCCTGATTTCAGTGACCGAGACAATCCGTCCGGTTCAAATATTTCTTCAGATTCTTCATCCTCTACCTCGTCTTCCTCTCTCTCCTTTTCCTTCCCTTGCTCTTCCTCCAGTTCTTCTTCTTCTTCACATTCAATGTCACTTACAATGGTTTCCTCTGCTTGAGGAAGGCTCTAATAAAATTATAATTCATCTCAATAGACATTGGGTCAATATGTACATGTACATCAATGATTGATACATGTACATGTACATGTACCATATCTCTCCCTCACCTTTATACTCTTTTCTTCACGATCTTTTAAAACCTTATCAAACAAAGGTTCCTTCATCCTAACTCCCTCTCCCTCCTCTTCAACATTCAGTGACACCACACTCCTTTCCTTTCCAATACTTCCTTCATCATTACAAACAATGTTCTCTCGTGAGGTAAGCGGCTGCGGTTTCGCTAGCTCCACCTCATTGATCCATGCTT